CTTTCTTAAATATCCAAAAGCACTGAAGAGAAGAACTCAAACAGCTGCTTGTACATCAGTGTTCACAGCAGCGTGATTCACAGTAGCCCAATGGTAGAAGCAACTGAAACGTCCATTGACAGATGAATAGATACACACAATGTGGTATGTCCACACAATGGAGTATTATTCTGCCATAAAGAGGTATGAAGTGCTAATACATACTGCAACATGCCTGAACTTGAAAACATCTCAAGTGAAAAAGAAAAGCCATGTACAAAGAGACAAATATGTCATCCTGTTTACATTAAGTACTTGGAGCAGACAAATACTTAGGCACAGAAAGTAGAATGGCACTGCCATGGGCAGGGAGAGAGTAGGTAGCTCACAAAGATCAAGACAAAAGAGCAAATTGTGACAATGGTGTTCAATATGCTTCCAAAGTTTGAGAAGTAATTCAGTGCACAACTAACAATTGCGATTATTTAGTGATGCAATAAAAACATTTTTTACTTAATTTAGATACATTAGTTTTCAAAAGGCCACTTAGTTGTTTGAATTTAAGTACTTATTAAATTGTTTGAATATGACTAATCAAATTAGGTATTCTTTTGCCCCAAGGGCACCAAGAAAATTACTGACTCTAGAGTGCTATGAACCAAGATCTACCTATGAGGTTTATGTATCCAAAAAAAAAAAAATCAACCCTGAATTTTATCCACCTATCTTCGTCCCTGCCATGTACATTAATTACAGGGAACAGAGGGACATGCTAAATGACACCACCAGGCTACAATCAGCAAATCTAAACTCTGAGGAGCAATACAGGACAAAGAAACCCTGTTTAACAAATGTGTTACAGAGAAATAAATAGAGAGAGAGATGACTTCAGAGACATACAGCCAATATGGACCTTATTAGATCCTGATTCAATCAAAGTGAAAAAAATTATAAGAACATCAGGAAAAAATTTAAGAACTCAGTACATGTTTGTTCTTTAGGAATTCTTATTTTTTTTGATATGATATTGTGGTTCTGTTTTATTTACCAAGGTCTTCTCCTTTAGAAACAAGTATTAAAATGTTTAAAGAAGTGACAATATCAGAGACTTCCTTCAAAATATAGATATCCCCACTTATAATGGTTAAATTTATAATTGTGCAACTTTGCAATAACACAACAGTGTACCTGTACAATCTTTGTTTTTCATCTTCAGTACAGTTTTCAATAAATTACATGAGATATTCAACACTTTATTGTAAAATAGCTTTTTGTGGGGGATTTTGCCCAAATGTAGGTAATGTAAGTGTTCTGAACACATTTAGGACAGATTCAGTCAACTTATATTTGCTAGGTTAGGTGTACTGAATGCATTTTTGACTCATGATATTTTGAACCACAATAAGTTTATCAAGAAGTAACCCCATCATAAATCAAGGAATTTTTTAGCTTTCCTATTGCTGGACACAGTACCCAACACTCACGATTTAAAAGGGAAAAAAGGATTAATTTAGCTTATGGTTTGAGAGAATTCAGTCCATAGTCAGCTGGCTCCAAGGCAAGAACATCATGGCAGAAGGATAGGGTAGAGCAAAGCAGTTTAGCATATGGAGAGTGGGAAGCAGAGCAGGGGAACAATCCTAGAGCAGAGCGAATAAGGGACCAGAAATGGACCCCGAGGCCATGCCTCTGTGACCCATCCAAAAACACCTACAAGTGTGCTCTACCAATCCCCTTGGGGTGGATCCCAAAGCAAATCAACTGAAACTCTACTTTCTCACAAAAAGCGTCTCTAATTTAAGTGAAGGAAGGAAGAGTGAGAGAAGAGATAAAGTTGGCTATGAATTAGTATCAAAATTGGATGATGGATGCATGCAGGTTCAATTTATTCTTCACTCTGCCTGTTTGTGTGGCCCCTCCCCTCTTCTAACTCCTTGAATGGCTCCTCTGTTCTCAGAGTAAAGTACAATAGAGCACAAGGTGCCCCTCTTTTGGCCTTCTTCTCTCCTACTCCCTGCCTGCCGCAATGATATTGCACTATGGGCTCCTCTCCATACCATTTCCTCATATCTCACAGCCCTCTGTCCTGCTCTTACAGTCCTCTCCCTCCTTGTCATCTGAAACACTCTCCCATTATGCCCTCCTAGCACAGTCCCAGTGTCCCCATTCCTGGATTGGGAGCTTTTCTCAATGATTTCATAATGACCTATTTTCAGACAATGCTGTAAATTGTACTTTAATTACCCACTAACTCATTGGACCTGGTGTCTGACACAGCAGACATGCAATACACATTTGTCAAATTATAAATGGTTGAACAAACAACTGAATAAACAGTATTGTTGCCATTATTATTAACAGTTCTCTCCAGTGACAGTTTGCTGTCTACACAGACCCCCCAGAGAAATGGATGTTCCTTCCTGTGTGGGAGGGAGACCCTGAAGAAGCACCTGTAATAGTGAAAAGGCACATCTGATCTGGGTAAACTACTTCCAGGCATCAAAAGTTGAAGACACACAGAATCAGCCAACAGTACAGTTCCCAGAAAATTCAGACCCCAAAGGAAGCAGAGGGTTAGGGGCCTAGTCTGGTTCTGGGAATCTCGACTCTAGAGAAATCCAACCTTCACCTTCCTGGTACCTACTGAACCTTAGGACTTGCTCCTTCTGGGGTCACTGTTTCCTCGCTTGTCTCTTGAAAGCCTCTTTCTATCCTAACAACCACAAACAACCATAAAGTAAAACAGACTTGGAAGTAGCAGGCAGGTGGAACAGGCAAGTTGATGGGTGAGATGACAGTGACCCAGAGTCCTGGGGGTCAGGGAACCTGACAGAATGGGAAGTGCAGCCTTAAGAGAGGGTGGGACTCAGATGTGTTCTCTAGGAGGTGTCTGGCTGCTTGGGTTGGGTTTCCAACCCGTGAAGGAAGGTGACCCCTCCTCCACCGGCAGAGTGGCCTCTGTAGCCTCAGCCACTCCACTGAGACCCACTTTTCCACCTCACTCCCCTGCCTCACTCAGGTGGGTTCACCACAGAGCCAGCGAGTACAGAGTTCGGGCATCACTCCCAGCCAAGTTTGGAGAAAGACCAGACAGCATACAGTTAGTATGTGGCATTTCCTTGGAGCTCTCTCTTAGAGGAAAATAAAATCTCCCCAGAAGATAGGCAGCCAAGTCCTGGTGAGTCATGAGGCCATACTGGGTGACAGAACTATTCTGGACCCAACCTAGGTTTGGGGGAGGACACACGCCAGGTCCATGAGGAAGCACTGGCCCCTTGTGCAGTCTGGGTGAAGTCAGGCACACGTCTTCCTCTTTCTCTTCACCGCAAAGGCAGGCTGTGACCTACTGAGGCAGCCAGGTGGTGGGTCCAAGCAGAGGACTGAGGAGGAGACGAGACATACCTGAGTTCCGGTCCCACCAGCCTTTCTTTTCCCTAGAGGTTCTGACACTGGCACCAGGCTGCACAGCAGAATCGCTTGCACCCCACCCGACCAATTCCACCCAGTCTCTGAGGCCAGGGTCCAAGCATCTGCAATTCTGTCATTTGGGCTTCCCAGAAGATTCCTATGCACTCCACAGTTCTCCATCTTTAGCAGCATCAGACTCCCCCAAGGCTGGGTGAGACTCACATTGCTGTGTCCCACAACCAGCTTTCTGATTCAGGAGGTCTGGGGCAGGGCCAAGAATCTGCATTTCTAACAAGCTACCAGGCGACACTGCAAGCTGATTGAGAACCAGGCCTGCATCTCAAATCATCAGCCCTGGAGTTCCCCTTCCTCTCTTATCTGAAACAGAGAACAATGGCTGCCTCTATTCTGCTCCTGAAGGGATTAAAGGTGAGGTCCAAGAAGCACCTGGAGCAGAGTGCACAGGAAGCCAGCTTGCTCCCAACACGGCCGGAAGGGACTGCTGCTAGTTATGTCACTGTGGGTCACCGCGATGTCCAGGGATGACACTGCCGGTCAGCTTTCTCTCCCTTCTATTTCTTTGCCTTCCTGCCTATTTCTTTGGTGTAAAAGCACCCAAAAAAAAGTGTGCATTCATGTTTCCTGCTCAGATTCTAACTCTCTGGAGTTTTTTTTAATAGAATAATGCTTATCACAGGAAAAACATCTGTTCCACTTTCTTTAATCTCTAATTTATCTAATCGCCCCTTGTAAAATAGGTATATTGCTAATGACTGAATTTCTGCCAAGGGAAGGAAAATGCTTGTTTCAATTACTTATTCTTCTCATTGACTTCACCCTCTGAGGTACAATATCATACAACATAAATATAATGAATGGGCCACTTTTTTCTGGCATCTTCATCACTGGACACTAATAGAGCTACTTCCAGAATAGAAAGATGTCATTTTCCATGTCTCCATTTGAAATACCAGATACACATTTTTCAGAATAATTCTCTTCCTCAGATATGTCCTCCCTCACCATGCCCAAGGAGAACCCTCAGTGCACGATGACCACGCCGGAGAGTGGCCACCAGAGGGCGCCGCAGAGCAGTTCTACCTGACCCTTCCAAGGCCAGGGACTCCAGCCGCTTGGGCACACAAGCCCCGCCTTGGGGTGTTCAGGGTCTGGAAGGCTGTTTTTCAGAACCTGTAGAGACCGAGATGGTTCTTTTTTTGTTTTGTTTTTTTTAATTAAGTTAGTAAGCAAGTATCACTTGCTCCTATGTGTTTATAAAAGTAAGCAAAGGTGACATTATTGAAAAGAATGGGATTGGATCCAAAGGTGAAGTTTGAGGCTTGCAGTGCTAGGGCTGGGAATTTAGCTCAGTGGTTCTGCTGCCTGCCTCGCAAGCACAAGGTCCCAAGTTCACTCCCCAGTACCAAAAAAAAAAGAGCGAGAGAGATTTGCAGTGCTATGGGGGACGGGAGCCCCTCATTTTACAGATAAAGAAAGGAGAATCAGAGAGCTCACAGGGTCGCCATCTGGCCAGTGCTTCGACTCACTCTGTGCTTTTTCCTGGGATCCTCTCCAAGCCGGGTCCAAGCCAGAAGACCCAGCTCTACCAGACGTAGCAGTGAGCCCCGATTTCCGGAAAAAGAAACAAAACAAGACGATTGGCATTTCATACTCAAACCGTTTGCACCGTATCCTCCCATGTTTACAGCTTTATTCTGTTTTTTCATCTTTTATCGTAGTACAGTATACCCAAGGTAAAAGAACCCATTTTAAGGTACGCTTCTGTGGCAGTAAGTACATTCATATAGTTGTGCAGCCATCACCTCTATCCATCTCCAGAATTTGTTCATCATCCCAAACGAAAAGTCTGGCCCCGGCAGACTCTAAACCCCGGTCTTCCCCTCCAGCCACCCAGGCCCAGGTCCTCTGTTCTACTTTCCGTCTCTGGTTCCCTACTGTGGGAGCCTCGGCTAAGTGGAATCACAGTGTTTGCCCTTTCGTGTTTGACCTCTTTGCTTCCCCAGCTGTCTTCTGGGTCCGTCCCTGCTGCAGTGGGCACCTGAACGTCACTCCTTCAGGGCTCAATAAGACTCCAGCACTTTCATTCCCATAGCTGGTACCTGGGAGAAAACTGAAAGGCAGAAGGGAGAGGAGACTCTGGTCACTCTCAGTTGTGAATCTGAGCCTCAGGTTCATTTCCCACATCGGCCCCACGTTGGGGCTGCTGCTGAGCTGAGTTAGCCAGGAGCGTGAAGCTACCCTGGGAGGGGAGAGCACTCTGTCCCCAAACCAAGCAGCCACCATTGGTTTGGTCCAGTGAGCCTCATCTGGACACCTTCTGTGTGCCACCCTGACAGATGCTCCGAGAATCACCAAGATGAGAGGATCCAGCCCTCCTCGAGCTAATATCTAAAAAGTACTTGTTCGCTTCTATCTGTGACTGGTTGGGCTTATGTTTAGGAGTACGGAGCAATTTTGAATATAGTGTATTTTGAAAGAAATTGAGAAATGTTCCTGGATAGCATTCAAGTGGAAAAACATAGTACCTCAATTTGTACTAATAAAGTCTGCCCGAGCATTTTCAAACTTCACTTATAATTGCAGAGGCATCTGACGTCTCATAAGACTTGGACTCTTGCGCTAGAAACTTTAGGTCTTAAAGGGTTATCAGCTGGGGACAGAGGGCCAGTGCTAAGATTCCAAATCTAAAGGTGTTCTAAGTCACGGGGAGTTTTCTGAAACCATATTTACTCTAGAAATATGCAGAAAAACCAAAAAGAGCCTAGATCCATCCTGGTTCATACTCTAAATACTGGATATTCTTTAATTCTAATAATAAACAGAAAATGAAGAAACAGTCAGAGAAGGTTGGCTGGTTCTAAGAGGAAGAAAGTCCCTCGCAGTGATCCAGCAATCCTTTGCAGTTTCTGCTGCTCACTGTCCCTGACACTATTTGCCAATTTTCTGATAGGAAGGAAAATGCCTAGGGTATTCATGAGGGGCCAAGGTCTGGGGGGCCTACAGGAGAGGCGCCGTCTGACCTTCACACCCAACTGCCTTGACTCCCCACCCAATGTGTCACCGAGGAAAAGGAGGCGTATTCTGCAGTTTGTGATGAAGCAGGGACACTCATACCAATAAATGAGAACTATAAAGAGGAGTGCTTTTCTTTCTACGAATAACCAGCAACAAAAATAGGAAAAAGTTGTTACCCATGAACATTTTCCTTTAATATCTACATACTTTAAGAATAAGATGAAAACACAGAGGCTATTTCTAGTAGGAAAGTTACTCTCGGAGTAATTTTAAGTCATATTCCAAAGGAAATTGGAAATTTATTTTCTTACAAACAGTACAGTAATGTTGTGCCCAACTATACTTGATGTGTTATAACCACACAAATGGTTCTCAGGTATCTCAACCTGAACACATTAAAACCAAACCCATATTGATCACCAACATTAGTTAGTTTGCCTTTTAAAAACTTCTGAGATCATCTTTCTCCACCTGCACTCCCACCTCTTCAATCCAGGTGACCATTATAGTAGTGACCATAAGTAGTGAGATATTCCTTTTTCACTACTGACTCCTGAGCCTGCTCCAACTCAATATTATACTTTTCAAAACACAGCATATCGAGGTACTACCAGCTCTATACACACTTAAAATTTTTCAGGGGCCTATAGGAAGGGGACCTAACCCTGATTACTGTTGCCACCCACTCCCTTGCCTAGCTCTAACCTCCCATCCACCCTCTCCTCTGAGATCCGGCCAGTGGCTTGCTCTGACCAACGGAACATGGTCAAAGGTGGCACATGCCCAGGGAGTATCCCAGGGCTTGGTCATGGCTCTTTTGCCTTTACCACAGAAAAGGCATGATCCAGATTTGAGCTGCTTCTTCAATGTTGCACGAGCAGGTGTGTAGGCACACACACGCCTATAGCCCCAGCTCCTTGGGAGGCTGAGCCAGGAAGATCATAAGTTTGAGGCCAGCCTGGGCAACACAGTGAGACTCTGTCTCAAAATTTTAAAAGTAAATATTTTATAGTGCTAAGAAGATAGCTCCACAGTAGAGCACTTGCCTAGTATGCATGAAGTGCAGGTTCAATCCCCGGTACAACAACACAATGTAACATGAGTGAGAAATAAGCATTTCTGCCAGGAAGCCACTGAGATTTTTTTTCCCATGTTTTTTACACAGTATTGCCTACTGAATGCCAACTAACAAATGGCTCCTCGTTACTCTTAAACTAAAATCCAAAATCTATAACCTAGTGTGAAAGCCCAACTTTCATTTCTTTAAATAAGTCTTGCTTCTTTGCACCAAGCTTGTGTGCATCTCTTCAACACCTACCCCTACACCTCCTGCAGAGTTACTGGCCACTTCCAACTTCAGTCTCAAAGTGCCTTCTTCTAAGAAAACGTTCCCTTACCCCCTAGGGATCCACCACATCCCTCTCATTTGCAGATGCATCAGATTTGTAATTTTATAGTTATTTTCTTGGATGTTTGATTGCTATCTCTACCTTTCCTTAAGGTGTTTATGAACATTTTAATTTCTTTGTTCATTTCACATCTATCCCTCTTCCAGCCTCCACACACTCTCAATGTTTCCAAAGAATACTTCCTTTCTGGGCTTGCTAATCACTGAATCCAAGAGCTAAAAAATCTCTGGTTCCTAATAGATCTTCAATACATTTCTGTGAATGAATGAATAACTCATAAAAGTTCAAACACTACAGCTTAAAAGTGAATATAAAATGTAAATATAACAATTATTAACAAGCATTCATTACTCACTTGAGTTTAATGACATGACTAAATGTTTATATTTAATTTAACAGCAGTAACCAGATTATCATAACCTGGATGTGTCTTCTCCCATATCAACCCATTCTTGCCTCCGATGAGCAGATCGATAACTAATACCTTCCACTGCATCACATGAGCTTGCAGCACTGGGTGTCAAATCCAAGCACACAACAGAATACCTGGAGTGCTTGTTAGGAGCACTGATTGCTGAGTCCCACCTAGAACTTCTGACTCAGTAGAGGAGGTGGATTCTAGCCAGTTTTAGGGGAGTCTACGGCTGCTAGGCTGAACACCTGTGGGAGCCATGCCTTGTTAGTTGCAAAGAGAAGCAACTTCTGTGTCCCAGGAACTTCATACTGGTTATGATGTTGACCCTTGAAATGATCAGAGGTGGGAATTTGCATGTTTTTGTTCCATATCCATCCATGCTCCACAGACCCCATAACAGCTGCTGCCTCTCCAAAAGATAGAATCTCTTCTCTGAAGTGTCCATCTTAAACATGCTGCATCCTCAACACGAGGCCAGAAACCCCAGAAAGCACAGGCCAATGTTTGTTTGGCTTTAAATATAAAATCAAGTTTGCTCAGCAAAACTAGGAAAGTGGAGGGGAAATTGAGACACTGAATTTCAGCTGAGTGAAGTTTAATTTCACCTGTGCTTCGGAAGAGATTAAGTACATGACCAGCCAGTAGAGGGCTGCCCCCACTGAGCCTGGGGAGCTCTACCCGCTGGGCCCCCTTTCCACCTATGCCCCAACCCCTACCAAAACCAGCTCAGGCTCAGGCTCACACACAACCACAACAGCATGAAGCAGGAAGGGACTGTATACAGGGCTCTATACCATAAGCTAAAGGACTACAATTTGAACTGGAATTTCAGGGTCACCAAGACCCCTTTCCTGGGAGTCTCAAGTAGAAAGCAAGACAGTGCATAAGAGGTCAGAGAGGCAAAGGCAGCAAAGGTGAAAGGGGCCAGTGCTCAGGGAGGGAATGACAAGAGGTCAGTCTGACAACGAGAGGCATAGCAGGGAGTGGACCAGGACACTGGCACATGGCCAGTGTCACGGAGACAGTGGAGCTGGCTTTCTGTTCCCTCATAGTCTCCTCAGGTTGTCGACCTGTCCTCCCTCCCTGGCAGCTGGGCATTTTTGTTTGTTAGTTTCATGGGCTAAGTCGTGTCCTCTAACCCATGGCTGCCAAACGCATATGTTGAAGTCATAAGCCCCAGTATCTCAGAATAGGACTGTACTTGGAGATAAGGTATTTAAAGAAGAAATTAGTTTAGATGAGGTCACAAGGGGCCCTCATCTAATATGACTGGTGTCCACACAGACGGAAAACCACACAAGGACACAGGGAGAAGGGAGGAGAAGGAAGGCATGGTATTCACAAGACAAGGTGGGTAGCCTCGGGAAAAACTAGCTCTGCTGATAGCTCAGTCTTGGACTGCCAGACTCTAGAAGCAGAAGTCTTTAACTCTATCAGGAATCATACTACAGTGACACATGCATACCCACACTTAGAACAGTGCATCTCACAGTCCTCACGATCGCTCAAGTTGGAAACAGCCTAGATGCCCATCAACAGATGAACCAGTGCAGAAAATGTGACATATATTGAAATATTATTCAGCCACAAAGAAGAACTAAATCATGTCATCTGCAAAATGGATAGAATCTGAGACCGTAAACTTAGATGAAGTAAGTCAGACACAGAGAGTTAAATATTGCATATTTCTCATATATGAAAAACCTAAAACATAAATAAATAAATAAAAGAGTAAAATAAAGGAGAAGTGGCAGGAAACAAAGAGACTTGCAGGAGATGGGGAAGTGGCGTGGGGGAGGGATGGAAGGAGACTTACAAGATGAAAAATGATCAAGCTATGCCATATGCGTTCACCAGTTCCCCAAAACGAATGCAACTATTGTGTATTACAAATATATACTAATAAACAAACAAGCAAAAAAGAATGATGAGACATGTCTGGTAAGTCCCCCAGTGTGTGGAACCTCATTCCACATCCTGGACAACCTACTGCCATTAGTGTTGAAGTTCTGCAGATATAAAAGGAGCCATTAGACAGGGGCCAGAGGCTGCGGGTAAGGCAGTGAGTCAACCCTGTCTGCTGAAGGACCTGGCCTAAAAGGGAGCATGTGGAGGCCTCAATGGAGCTTCCAAAACGAGAGGTGAATGGGAGTCATGTTTTCTGCAAAATCCTCCTGGATGATAAGAATGATGACAGGGACATCCAAGGACTGAAGAGCCTCTCTCCGGAGGGAGACACATACACACACCATCATGAAGACTGACACTGAG